AATTTTATTTTATTTTATTTTACTTCTCAAAATACATTGTACTTGATTTTCATGCCCCTTTACCTGTTCCTCTCTCCCCTCTCCCATCGTATCTGTGCACTTGGCTTAAATACTTCAAGGAATTTTTGTGGTTATTCTGTCTTCTTCCCACCACTCTTTATTTGTTTGTGTGTTTATTTATTTCTTAATTTTTAGCTCCCACAAATAAGTGAGAACGTGTGGTATTTCTCTTTCTGTGACTGACTTGTTTCACTTAATATAATTTTCTGTAAGTCCATCCATGTTGTTGCGAATGGTAGTATTTTGTTCTTTTTTAATAGCAGAGTAGTATTCCATTGTGTAGACATACCACAGTTTCCTTATCCACTCATCAGATGATGGACATTTGAGCTGGTTCCAGCTCTTGGCTATTGTATATAGTGCTGCAATAAACATTGGAATACAGGTATCCCTTTGGCATGATGATTTCCATTCCTCTGGGTATATTCCCAGCAGTGGGATAGCTGGGTCATATGGTAGATCTATCTGTAATTGTTTGAGGAACCTCCATATCATTTTCCATAAAGGCTGCACCATTTTGCAGTCTCACCAACAAAGTATGAGAGTTCCTTTTTCTCCACGACCTCTCCAGCACTTATCGTTCTCAGTCTTTTGGATATTAGCCATCCTAACTGGAGTGAGATGGTATCTCACTGTGGTTTTGATTTGCATTTCCTGGATGTTGAGTTATATTGGGCACTTTTTCATGTGTCTGTTGGCCATTTGTACGTCTTCCTTTGAGAAATGTCTTTTCAGCTTCTTTGCCCATTTTTTAATTGGGTTATTTGTTTTTTTGTTGTAAAGTTGTTTGAGTCCCTTGTATATTCTGGATATTAATCCTTTGTCAGATGTATATTTTGCAAATATTTTCTCCCACTCTGTTGGTTGTTTTTTACTCTGTTGATTGTTTCTTTTGTGGTGCAGAAGCTTTTTAGTTTGATATAATCCCATTTTTTAATTTTACCTTTAGTTGCCTGTGCTTTTGGGTCCTATTTATGAATTCTGTACCTACTCCTACTTCCTGGAGTGTTTCCTCTATGTTTTCTTTAAGGAGTTTTATTGTTTCAGGATGTATATTTAATTCTTTAGTCCATTATGAGTTGATTTTGGTATATGGTGACGGATACGGGTTTATTTATTTATTTTTTGCAGCTGGCCATACGGGAATCCAAACCCATGACCTTGAGGTTATAAGGCTGAGCCTCTAAACAACTGAGCTAACCAGTTAGCCTCAACTTTAACTTTAAACTGGTGAGTAACATAAACCATCCCCTCTTCCTGGTCTTGTAAAGCAAGAGCACTGCCCAGCTACATCCTCGTGAGGCAAGCAGGACCTGTAGAGCCTGGTGCTTTGGGACCCTTCTTGCCTTCTCTTCCTGCATGGCCCCCACAGTCCAGCTCCAGCTGCGTGAGCCCTGCGTGCTTCCTCGTCTGCACATGGGTGTCTGCACAGCCTGATCTCCATGTCCCAGCCTTTCCTGCCTGTGTTGGCTTCTCAAGTGTTGCTTCCCTGTGAAGCTTGTCAGTGAGGCCCTTCTCTCCGTGTTCCCCTGATGCCCGTGTTGTAAACATACAGTCCTGTTTGTTTTCCCCGTACGAATGTGAACCTTTGGGAAAGGACCCTCTCTCACCTTTGTTTACCAGTTCTTGGCAAGCAGCTTCATGCAAGTGTCAGAGATGTCATAATGAAAATGGAGTCTCTTGTGCTAAAAAACCCCTGACAGAGCCAGGGAAGGCCGTGAAGGGATGTTCTCCTGCACGAATGCCTTGTAATGAAAATTATCACAAAGGACTCTGCAAAACCAGAACCTTGCACAAAGGTCATTGTAACCTTACGCAAAATACTTCTACGAGGCCATCTGCCCAGCAACTGTCTGTTCAACCTTGAACTGGCGTCACCTTGTTATTGATCCTTGTAGCCAAGGATAATTATCCCCAATCATGAAATTAATCCTCCATCACTTTTCCTTTAAAACCCTTTGTCTTCTTTTACCTCCCTGAATATGCAGTAAAGTACATAGTTTACTACAGCTTATATATTCCCATTGCAATGCCCTATTCCCAAACAAATGTCATTTCCTTTTATTTCATTTTATTTATTTTTATTGAAACACAATTGATAGTTCATATTTATGGGGTACAGAGTTGACTATCAATACTTGTGTACAACAGGTGATGATCAAATAAGGATAATTAGCATATCAATCATTACAAAACAAAATCATTCTTTGTGTCCATTAACCAATATCTCATTGACCCCCACCCATCCCCCTTTCCCATCTCTAGTAACCACAGTTCTCTTCTCTCCTTCTGAAAGTTCAATGTATTATTGTGATTGTCCTTTCTTTCCTTCCTTGCTTCTTCCCTCCCTCTTTCTTTTGTTGTTGAGAATGGCAGAACTTTGTTCTTTTTTATGGCTGAGTAGTATTCCATTTTGTATATATACCACATTTTCCTTATCCAGTCATCCCTTGATGGACACGTAGGTTGGTTCCATATTTTGGCTATTGTGAACAGAGCTGTGATGAACATGGGACTGCAGGTATCCCTTCAACATGATGATTCCCATTCCTTTGGGTATATACCCAATAGTAGGATTGCTGGATCATATGGTAGTTCTATGAGAAGACTCCATACTGTTTTCCATAATGGCTGTGCTAGTTTACAGTCCCACCAACAGTATAGGAGGGTTCTCCTTTCTCTGCATCCTTGCCAGCAATTGTTATTCTCTGTCTTTTTGATAATAGACAATGTTACTGGAGTGAGATGATATCTCGGTATGGTTTTGATTTGCTTTTCCCTGATGACTGGTGATGTTGAGCACTTTTCATATACTTGTTGGCCATTTGTACATCTTCTTTTGACAAATGTCTATTCAGCTTCTTTGCCCACTTTTAAGTTAGATTATTTGTTTGTTTTTTTTTTACTGTTAAGTTGTTTGAGTTCCTTGAATTTGGCCAAGGATATAAAAGGAGGTATCATATGTTACTTCTCCAAAGTGTCCTTAAAGGAAGAGGGGCAGAGGGGCAAGTGCCCGCCCCCTGCCTTTGTTTTTACCTTCCTCTTTCATGCTGGTTGGAATACAGACAAGATGGCTGGAGCTCAAGCAGCTGTGTTGGACCATGATTTAGAAGATACCCTTGGCAGATAGCAAAGCAACAGAAAAGGAAGCCTGGATTCCTGATGTCTGTGGAGAAACTATACAGCCCTCGACTGCTTACTTCTGGACTTTGTTTATTTAAGACAATTGTCATTTTGAGTATTATTTTGCTTGGCAGCTTAACCTAACCCTAACTGATAGGGAGCTATTGGGGAGGGGAACCACGAGGCTTCCGAGATGACAGGGTGGAACCCTGACTCTGCTGGATGGTCTTCCTGCCACTGCATGGGGAGGAAGGTTGACTGGATAAGGCCAGCACCGGAGAAAGCAGGTGGGAGGCAGAGGCTGCCTCAGTCCGGCTGACATCACTTAAGCCACTGTATCTGGTGTGTCACTATTTTTGCCTAACTCAATTTTTGTGTAAATCAGGGTCTCTGCCTTTTGCACCTATGAGTCCGATCTGATATAAGCATCAAAACTACTTCTTCAAACAAATCTTACTTAAAACCCTAATCTTATTCAATAGACACAAGTGGAACTGCTTCAGCTGAAGCAGGCAAGTGGGCTGGAGCCTGAGATCTCTCAAGAATTCCTTGTCCCCTTCACAGCATGGCCTGGAAATGAGACAACTAGATGAGCCTAGTGGAAGAACACGTGAATTCTGGGTGTTTATTTCTGTAACAAATGCCTGCTCCTTTCTGGAATCACTGCAAAGCCCAGTTAATGTATCATTGCTACTCTTTAGTACCTTTTTTCTCCCTTGTTAGTGGTGTTAATAAAGCACCAGACACCTTAGTTCAACAAGCCCAGCTATCCCTCAGCTTTCCCAACACGTTCAGTATCTTAGTCTTGTATGCTCGTTCTTTGGTTTGTTTTTTTTTTTTTTTTCATTTTTCTGGTGGTTGGCCAATATGAGGATCTGAACCCTTGACCTTGGTGTTATAACACTGTGCTCTAACCAGCTGAGCTAACCAGCCAGTCCCTAGGTTTTTTATTTTTATTAAAATAATGTTTTTGTATGCTCATTCTTAGTCCAGATGTGGCAATCATGTCTTTTAGCCCTAAATAATTCATTTATACTTCAACTTGTGAGTCTTGGGCTTAGGGTTAGCTAGACTCATAGGGACATTAACCCTCCTCTAGTTAATTCTGCCATCGTTTGGATCATTAGCATTCAGGATTTGTCCAGTTTGTTGCCCCTTGGGACTGACTTTAATTTGCAAATGCTCGGTAAGATCTTGAAAGGGAGTCAGATTCCAAACCCCCTATCCCAAGTTTCTATTGCTTCAGGAGAGGCTGGGAATGAGACCGAGACCAGGTGCCTCCTCTAAGGGATCTGAAGATTCCTGTGGGGGAAGGGTACCCCCGTCTCAGCTTCCGCTCTGCAGTCAGCTCTTGAGCTGGCACATTTACTAACTACGCCACACCTCTTAGTCCTGGGAAGGGAAGTGTGTTCTCTTCCTCAGACCACCACTGATCTGTTGGAATGTTGGACGCACTTTGCCAACGGAATGAGAATTTTCCTCTTGACTTGAGCATTGTTGACATTTTCATTAGCAACTCAGGCTCCAAAAGCCACATCTTGGCAAGAGAAGAGGTGAAATCTTGCTCAAGCATTTGCTCCAGGCAACCACTCTGGGATTCAGGGCTGAATCTTTTCATCAGAGGCACAGAAGCCCTGGAATCAAGGGACATCATTCCTTCCAGCTCCAGGAAGAAAGACACAGAATCACAAGCTGTTCTTTCCTCTTCCCAGGGCTTACACATGCCGTTGCTGCTGATCCAGCGAATTTTCAGAACTGGACTCTGGTATCAGACTTGTTGTAAAGGATTTTAAAGTACCATAAAATCAGAGGCTTGGTAGAATTTCCAGCTACTCGGGCTGGCCCGGTGGCGCATTGGAGAAGTGCACCGGAGTTAGACCAGCATGGATACTCCTTTTCCCAAAGGCAGAAAGATGAAGCTCACATTCACACCACCCTTGGCCGACAGGTGCATGGCACTCCTTTTATTGTTTGTTGGTGTCTTTGCTAAGTCAATAACTTTACTTGTATTTATGGGGCACCTGTTTTGTGCCTAGAACCATGCTCGGTACTAAGAAGGTCTTAAAAAAGATGTGATTTCTGCCAAAAGAGGTCGAATGCGTTAATGGAATGGAATGTCTCTGCTACCTGGAATGAAGATACCGAGCTCCGTGAAACCCAGACCACAGTGGATGTGGGAAAGAGGGTAGGGAATTTGGTTGCTTGGGGGTATAAGCAGAAAGTGAGATTCACTGCGTCTCAAAGTGGGGCACACCCTCGGCTTTGTCACATCTTCGAATGCAGATTTGCTGTACTTTCCAGCAGGAGTTTCACTTTCACAAAACAGGGTCTTTATCGGACTTGACAGTTGTGTCTTGTGTCTTGTGTCCAGTGAGATGCCTGAGAAGTGGTAGACACTTGATAAATACTTGCTAAATGAACTACTGGTGCACACCCTCCTACTCTCCCCTGGACTGCCTCTGCAGTTATTTCTGGTTGAGTTTTGGGAAAAGGATGGCCTCTTTCTGCGGTGTCTCCAGGACCTGGGTGAGGGCTCTGGGGCTGAGTAAGAAGTGTCACAGCACCTTGGAATGTGTTTCCAGATACCCTTCCCTCGGTTGTTCATCAGAGGGGCCTCCTGAGAGCTTTCCAGAACACTAATGAGAGAAGTCCAGCATCTGCTTATCTTTGGGAGGCACATACCTTCCCCTTTGCTGTCTCTGATGGTTGTTATCTGAAAACTGTCTAGACTTTAGATGCGAATTGGGCTAAGGGGAATGAGAATGAAATTTTCTTCACTTGGGGGTGGGAGTGGACACATGAAATATCCCCATTCCTGACCTCTGGGCTAACTCCCTGCATAGTCATCTGGAGGCCCCACACTTGGAATGGGGCTTGTTGGTGTCCGAGTGATGTCCCATCACAAGGAGACTATGCATTTGCTTGGCTTGCACAAAGAGTTTTTGCAATAAACTTTTCCATTTGGGTGAAAAGGGAACAGCAAGAGCCTTTAATCTTGCCTTTTGTGTTGTATCTGTGATGGGGTTAGGGTGATTGCTCCAACTGCTTAGAAAGCATTTTGGTGGGATGGTGGGAGGTGGATTCCAGCCCCTTTTTGGATCCATGTC